TGCGACTATTTTGGTTCAGGGTGGCCAGGGATGAACAAGTGACCTGCAAGATCAAGTGGCCTGCTTCTACATGGGACCTACACATAAGAGTGGTTTATGTACCCAATGAGACACCATTGGAGAAAACATAATTTTTCCTTACAAGGGGATTTAAATTGGAGATAGCATCTTTATTAAAGATGGGATATTATATCCACTTAACCCCCAATCTGTCCTGTATGCAAGATATTCTTCATGTGGTAATGATGACACAGACATGGAAGTGGTCAAGCATTGTCTGATTCAACTTAAAGCCCATGCAACAAGAGGAAGATAATGCCCAATATTGCCTGGATGAACAGGAACTGGATATTGGATAGCCCAGAGATCTAAGGTAGAACAAAATATGACTGGCAAAAAAATCAATGAAATGTTTCCTTATGATATTCTACTATACTCTGCAATCAATACTTTGTCGATTCATAATAAGGGAGGTTTTTCTCTGGCAGCAGATGTGAATGGACACAGAGACCTACAGCCAAACATTATGGGGGATGGATTATAAACTGAGGTCTTTATTGGGTTCCTTCTGTGATGTAGAAGAGGGGTATAGATTTCAGGAGTTAGAAGGGATAAAGGACACCAACAGAACTTGGCCTACAGAATCAACTAAGCAGGACTCAAATTGGCTCACAGAAACTGAAGAAGCAAGTACTTGGCCTTAATAGGTCTGCTTCAGGTCCTCTGTGTCTATATTATTGAATTTAACTTGGTGTTTTTGTGAGACTGTGGGATAAGGTTTTCTCTTTTGTCTGCTCTTGGGACTACTCCCTTTATATCATGTTATCTTGTAGATCCTTGATATAAGGCCATTTTCCCTTGTCTTATTGCATCTTGTTTTTGTCATGTTTGGTTATGGTCTTTTGGAGGATTGTTATTTTATGACTAGGAAACAGGAGGAGAGTAGATCTGGGGAATATGGGAGGTAATGGGAGCTCCAAGGAGTAGGGGGAAAGGAAACTGTGGTCTGAATGTATTGTATGAGAGAAAAATCTGTTTTCAATTAGAATCTTTTCTATATTTTCAATTAGATCCAAGAATCCTTTTTCACAGAAAAATCCCATCTTACTCAGACATCATGTTCTTGGCCATTATGTAATTTACAAATACATTCATTTTGCTTTATCTTTTGTCTACAAATTTAGTGATTACATCTTCTGTAAATGTGCAAACATTTATTAATTTTAGTAGTTATTATTGCTTTTTAACTTCTCATTTTTCTCATAAATCTGGTTCTTCTAAATGGTACTCTTTAAAAACAAAGATTACATTTTCTTCATTTTTTTTCCTTCCCAGGATATAAAAATGTGCTGGGCATTCACTAGATATTCAGTAAACTTATGATATTTTATAGAATTTAACTTATATTATGATGAGATCTTTGACCAAGGGAATATACTTTTTATTCAAGAATAATATATATTAGAAGAATAGAGTCATTTTGAAAAACATAGATGCTGCTACTCTTATGCATAGGCAAGAACAATAGCATGGTTTATTTGTTTAGGGATCTTGTATGAAGAAGAGGAGAATGATTCCTGAGTCAATTCATTCCTGAATCAATTCATCCATGTGAACACATGCTTAATGAATAAAGAAACTGCCTTGTCTTTTGATAGGTCAAAACTTAGCTAGGTGGGGAAAACAGAACTGATATTTGGGAGGAAGAAATGAGAGTGAGAGAGAAGCCATGGATCCTCTGCCTGAGATGGACACTGGTTAGAATCTCTGGTAAGCCACTGCCAGTTGGTGATACACAGATTAATGGAGATGGGTTAAACTAATATTTAAGAGTTAGCCAATAAGAAGTTAGAGTTAATGGCCAAACAATGTTGTGTGGTTATTTCAGGTGTAAGGTAGCTGGGCAGCCAGGGCAAAGAAGCAGCCCTCTTCTTACAACATACATATTAGCCTGAACAAGATAATCATAAGTCAAACACAGAAACAATAATGTTAGAAGAACATGGCCATTTTTGAAAGGCATAGATGTTGCTACTCTTGAAAAAAAGCAAGAATATAGTTAATGTGACTGTTTAGGGCTCAAGTTTTAGTGTCTATTTTAGTGTATATTGCCTTGCCTTCCAGATTATTTTGGTTATAATTTGTAGTGTATTATAGAAATTACATTTGTAATGATAAAAATGTGTGTTTAAAGTATAGATTTAGAAAATACATCTTTATTTTGAAGAAAGCCTAATTCATCAATAATATCCCTAACTGGAACAAACCATTGTTTATATACCAGTTTCTTAATATATTGGTATCTGTTTATTTAACTACATTTAGTACTTTTAATGTCAGGTTTTTATCCTTTTATATATGGCAATGAACAAAACAAAAACCTTAACTACTTGTGGTTTTCATTAGAGTTATAGAACAAACAAGATGTTAGAAAGATGGATAAATAGATTAAAATAGAAAGGAAGGAAGATAGATGATAGAGAAATAGATATAGGATAGAGAGATAGATGATAGACATATAGATGATAGATAGATGCTAAATAGATGATAGATAGATAGATAGATAGATAGATAGATAGATAGATAGATAGATGATAGATAGATAGATAGATGATAGATAGATGATATATATATAGATAGATAGATAGATAGATAGATAGATAGATAGATAGATAGATAGATAGATAGATAAAACTAATCTTGTTAAAACAAAGAATTCTGGAATTGAATTTCAGAGTTTCTTGCATGTTTTCAGAAGATATTCATGTCATTTGTTACTGGATAGTTTTGAAACCCATACAAGTTAGGGCAGTAGTAATAGCAGTAGAAATGATAGAGAGCTGGTGAATTTGGTTAGAATGATAATGGAGGAAGGTAATTGGTTAATTATAATAAACCAACTGCTTGGCCTCATAGCTTAGAACATAGATGGGAGAAGTAAACAGAATAGGATGCTGGGCGGAAGAGGAAGTGAGGTCAGACTCTGCTCTGCTCCGGGAGAGCCTCCACAGCTCTGCTCTGGAGCAGAGACACCATGCTCCACTCTCCCAGGATGGACAGAGGCTAGAATCTTCCCGGTAAGCGCACCTTGGGGTGCTTACACACATCATTAGAAATGGGCTAGTCCAGGTGCGAGAATTAGCCTGTAAGGGCTAGAGTTCATGGGCCAAGCAGTTCTTAAATGAATACAGTTTGTGTGTTGTTATTTCGGGCATAAGCTAGCCAAGCGGCCGGGGTGTTGGGGACGCAGCCCCGCCGCTCCTTATTTCAACAGATGGTTGCCCAACGTGAGGATAACTGAAACCACAAAAAGCCTGAGAAAACTTGGGAAAGAATGGAGTGAAGCATGTTTTCTTGGTAGCAGAAATTTCTTGGGTCTGCTCCGCTTGCTAGAGGCAAGCAAGCACTCTTATCTAAGAGAGGCTTCCTGACTCAGCTTCAGCTGCAAAACCCTGCAGCTCATTAAGAGGTCCTGCCACAAAACACTTAAACGGTGTTGGTGAAAAGCTGAACGCATGCTTTTCGGTTTTCAGCCGTAGCAGGAAAAAAGCTGTGCTGTTTAAAAATGCCGGCTTTCTGGGCCATCCTGCCAGGGCAAACTCTGACTGAGGCAGGAGGGCCAACTACCGAGAGAGGACTTGACTGTTGTCTGTTGTAGCTCGCTGGCTGGCAGGGACCTTGAAACGCCATAGAATTGTGGCTATAAACATGGCTACAGCCTGTATCTCCGCCATGAGGCTGGAAAGCTAAGGAATGGACTGGATCTAGCTGGCAAAGCCACGGCTTTAATCCTACTCATATTGCTCAGTAATTTAAAGGCTCGTGTGGTCAGAAAAAGAGAGATATACAGTAAAGAGATTCAAAGACAAAGAAAATGTTTAAATGATTTACAGTGTGTTAAAAATATATGCAAGCTAAAAGTTAAAAGTTCTTAAAAAAAAAAAAATAAGAAAAAGAGAAGTTGTGTGTGGTAGTACACGCCTTTAATCCCAACGCTTGGGAGGCAGAGGGAGATTGACCTCTGTGACTTCAAGGTGTGGTAGCACACGCCTTTAATCCCAGTGCCTAGAAGGCAGAGACAAACAGATCTCTGTGAGTTCAAGGTGTAGTAGCAAACACCTTTAATCCCAATGCCTGGGAGGCAGAGACAGGCGGATCTCTGAGAGTTCAAGGAGAGCCTGGTCTACAGAGTTATTCCAGGTCAAAGAGATACAGAGAATATAAAATTAAAAATAAACGAAATAGAGGTTAAAATAAAGCGTACAAAGATGGAAAATACACAGAGAATCTTGATACTGTATACTATTATGCTCTCTTTGAATTGTTTGAATGCTGAGGAAGGAGCAACAGCTGCCAAAAGATATTTGTTTATAAATGCTGCTGAACTAATCCAACGTAGAGATTTTGATGCCTTGACTTTGAAATTTGGATCTAAGGACATGATACTTTGGAAAGGAGTTTCTTTTTTTGTTTTCACAGAGGATGAGACCCTGTTCATTTCTTCTATTCCGATATGGTATGATGGACCACGCCCTCCTGAACGGTTGCTGTGAATACCTTCAGAAAATTGCTTCGCTCAACTGCCAACTGAGATGAAACTAGCACACAGGTTATACCATGAAAGACCTAATTAACGACGCCCCCATTCAGCAGGAAGCAGTTTGGAGAGAAAAAACTGCGCCCATGTTCCCAAATATTGTTTATAAATGTTCTTTTACATTTAAAGGGGGATATGATATAGATATGAATAATTTGCATTAGTATAGATTTTGCTTTATTGATAGAGATTTAAGGTCAATTTTGAATGTATATAGGTTGTTAATGAATAATCATTAATAGTAGTTAAGCTTGTAGTTATGTTAGTTAAGATTTTCTAGATGTGCATAGATATATTTTAGATAGGCATTCTTCATATCTTTCAAAGGCTAGAGAATATGGCATTTTACATGTTTTAATAACTTAGGACTTTTCATGACAATGAGACACTCTGCTCCTGGCAGCACCAATCTACTTCAAGAGGAAGATGGGCATCGAAGAGGATCCTTATGGAGTTTGATAGCCATTTGGGCAAGAAACTGCTCTTGCCTGGACTATTGCATAAACTGGACACAGAGAACCCGCAGAGAGAGGACTGCTGAACTTGCCTAAAGGTGAGATGATCTTTCGGGGTTCCTGATTCATGAAAGAGTCTGCAAGACATTCTTCAGGACAAGCAGATAGTGACTGCCTTTGAAATTTCCTGCTTTGTGGAAATGTCTGCTGGAAACTATGGGCCTGTAGGCCGAAGATGGATGCCCCAACGGTACAGAGGAACTTTGGGTGACTGTCCAGGCAGCGAGATGTCTCTGTCATTTCTAGAGCTTTGGATGTTAAGTTAAAGCCTTCTTTTTTTTTTTTTTAAACAGAAAAAGGGGAAGTGATGTGGGAGTGTCATATATCAATCTGTTGATTTCATTGGTTAAGTTATAATAAACCAACTGCTTGGCCTCATCTTGGAACATAGATGGGAGGAGTAAACAGAATAGAATTCTGGGCGGAAGAGGAAGTGAGGTCAGACTCTGCTCTGCTCCCGGAGAGACCCGACAGCTCTGCTGGAGCAGAGACGCCATGCTCAGCTCTCCCAGGCAGCTGCAACCCACGATGGACTTAGGCTAGAATCTTTCCGGTAAGCGCACCTTGGGGTGCTTACACACATCATTAGAAATGGGCTAGACCAGGTGCGAGAATTAGCCTGTAAGGGCTAGAGTTCATGGGCCAAGCAGTTCTTAAATGAATACAGTTTGTGTGTTGTTATTTCGGGCATAAGCTAGCCAAGTGGCCGGGGTGTTGGGGACACAGCCCCGCCGCTCCTTATTTCAACAGAATGATTATGAAGGATTGTGACATGAGAAGCCTCATGTAATCATGATACATATACTATTAAATAACTGAAAGGAAGTGTCTTAGTGAGCAGATGCCAAAGCAAAAATGTATGAAGAATGAAATGTACTGGTATGTTCTTGAAGGAACAGAAGGATGTAAAATGATAGAAGCCTAGTATATAGATTACTGACAGAAAGAATGAATAATTAGATGTATTTCTAGTCTTGATCAAATACAACTGTGTCTTTAACATCTCTTTGATAAGAAAAACACATATTATCTAAAAGTGCATAAATAAGCATATGTAATTAATAATTGTTGCAATTTTTCTAATTTCATTTTCTAATTTTAATAATAAAACCACAATAAAGTTATTTATATTTATAATTATATATATTATAATTATACTAATTTGGATCATATCTTGTTGTGATGTTTTGCTTTATTTTTAAAGCAATGGCTTTCTTATACCCAATCAATTTCTTCACTATTAAGTATAATTATAATATTCAGTAAGAAAATGTTTTCTATATCTTGTTTTCTAATAACGATGCTCAATGAGGATATAAAAATTGGTGTAGGAGGGTCATCTGTCTATGTGTTACTTTTATTGGTTAATAAAGAACCTACCTTGGCCTTTTGATAGGCCAGCCCTTAGGTGGGTGGAGTAGAATTCTGGGAGAAAGAAAGCAGAGTCAGGCAGACGCCATGAATCTCTGGCCCGAGACAGATGTAGGTTAAGATGTTTCTGGGTAAGCCACAGCCTCATGGTGCTACACAGATTTAATGGAAATGGGTTAATCAAGATGTGAGATTTAGCCAATAAGAGGCTAGAGCTAATGGGTCAGGCAGTGTTTAAGTGAATACAGTTTCCGTGTAATTATTTCGATAAAGCTAGCCGGGGCAACCGGGAGCTGGACAGGATGGAACAAAGGGCCCTCACTCCTCTCAGGCTGTGGGAAGTGGCCTACTGCTCCTTTTACAACAAAAATGTGCAACCTCATGAATAAATAAATGATTCAAATTAAAAAAATAACAAAGCACAATTTTCCACCTATCATAGCATACGTTAAAAGGACTGATAATACCTAATGACTGGTGTAGTTATGAGAGAATAGATACTAATATTTTGCTCTAATTCAAATTTTTAAAAGTATAATTTTAACTTTCTTTATTAAGCCCACATTAATGAGGTTTGGTTTTTCTCCAAGCATGTATGTAAGTTCTATTTTAAATGTATTTTTTATTCATTTTTTGAAATGTGATTTAGAACCCAGACTATCCACTTGTCCCTGTTTCATATTACTGTGTTACTTTTGTTGGGCTAGTAAATTACTTCCCAAATAAGCTGTTACATAATAAAACATATGTTTTTATACAAGTAACTATTTGACACCTTTTTGCAGATTTTCTGTATTAGAGGTTAGCAAATTAGTCTGTGCAATGTATTTGAATGGCCACTGGGTCAAACTACTATTTTATGAACACTTGGACAGTTATATCCAAATTTAACTGTACTTTAATTTGTACAGTTGCAAAGATGCAGAAAAAAATTTAAGTATTTCCTAGTAAACCATTTTCAGAAAAAAATTTGTGATGCCAGTTAAAATATTTTGTTTCATTATTTATTGGAATCAATATGTTTTATAAATGTCTAAGAATTACATTGGTGTTAATGTATTATTAGTTTTAAATAGACCTCAGTTTTACTTATTTGCCTTATAAAATATATGATTCTTTAGTAAAATTGCACTACCTCATTTGCTACTCTCTGTCTTGACATATACTTACATATGACCTTGCTACTGTTTCAAAAATTGAATGTGTGTTTTGACAATTATTTTGGGGCTACCTTAGTATTAATGTCTTCACTGATTTCAGAGTATAGGTTGAGTGTAAAGGGGAGATTCTGAGCATCTGAGAAATCTGCTCTTAGAAACAATCACATGATGTTCCAAATGCACTGACTTGACTTCAGGCCTCAATTTTCCAATAGTCGTATAAGAAGTGAATAAGTAAAAGTTTCCCCTCTTTACTCAGTGATCATGTATAGAACATTTCTCATGAGACAACTTCTAATGTTACTTTAGATAGGACTATCTTTTCTAAAGATCATTTCATTTAGAGAGTAAAAAATTGTCTACTGTAGCCTTAGTTTCCAGACCTGCTTCAAGTACTACAGTTCAACATTTTCAATGACATATGAGAAAAGTACATTGAGTACAAAAATGTTTAGAGTTGGCTACTTGTATATGACATCCTGATTCTTTTACTTTTGTTTTTCAAGACAGGATCTCCCTATGCAACTTTGGAGTCTATTCTAGATTTGCTCTGTCGGCCATGCTAACTTCAAACTCTCAGAGATTTGCCAGGCTCTACCTCTCAAATGCTAGGATTAAAGGTGTGATGTCATATTCCCCTCTGTATGCTGTGAATACCGTTGGTTAATCAAGAAACTGGCTTGGCCTGATAGGGTGGATAGGTGGGGTAAACTAAAGTGAATGCTGGGAGAAAGAAGGGCAGAGTCAGGGAGAAGCCACATAATCCTTGCTAGAGGCAGATGCCAGATGGAACTTTACCCATTAAGCCATAGCAATGTGGTGATACACAGATTAATAGAGATGGGTTAGTTTAGTATATGAGTTGGCCGGAAATACGCTTAAGCTATCGGCTAAGCAGTATTGCAAATAATATAGTTTATGTGTAATTATTTCAGGTCTGAGCTGCTGGACAGCTGGGAAACAAAGAAGTAGCCTTTTGCAACATTGGTGTGCACTACAATAACCCAGCTGACATCATGATTCTTATTGCAACCATCAGGGAAATGCAAATCAAAACAACTCTAAGATACCATCTTACATTAGACAGAATGGCTAAGATCAAAAACACCAATGATAGCTTATATTGGAGAGCATGTGGAGTAAGGAGAACACTCATCCATTGCTGGTGGGAATGTAAATTGCACAATCACTCTAAAAATCAATATGGCAGTTTCTCAAAAAATTAAGACTCAACCTATTACAAGACCCAGCAAAACCACTCTTGGGTATATACCTAAAGGATGCTCAATCATACCACAAGGATATTTGTTCAACTATGTTCAGAGCAGCATTATTTGTAATAGCCAAAATGTGGAAACAAACTAGATGTCAATCAATTGAAGAATGGATAAAGAAAATGGGATACATTTACACAATGGAGTATTACTAAGTGGTGTTGGAGGGAGGCTGCTTGTTTGTCCTGGCTGCCGGGAACTGAATTAATCACAAAGAAACCATATTAATGAAATCACTGCTAAGCCTATTAGCTATAGCTTCTTGTTGGTTGACTCATACATATTAATTTAACCCATTTCTATTAATCTCTGCATTGCCACGTGGCTGTAGCTTATCAGCTAAAGTTCCTTCTGGATCCAGTGGGGCTACATGGCTCTCTCTGACTATCCCCTTCTTTCTCTCAGAATTCAGTTTAGTTTTTCCCACCTAGCTAAGTTTTTCCCTGCTGTGGGTCTAAAGTAGTTTCTTTATTTATTAATGGTAATCACGGCATACAGAAGGGAATCTTATATCACAGTGGTAAAAACCAAGGACTTCTTGAAATTTACATTCAAATGAATGCAACTAAAAAAAAAATCCTGAGTAAGGTCAAGGTAACCCAGACCTAGAAAGAAGAACATGGTATTTACTCACTCATAAATAGATACTAGTTATAAAGTAAAGGATAATGATGCTATAGTCGATGACCCTAGAGAAGCTAAGTAACAAGTTGAATCTTAAGAAAATCATATATAGCCGGGCTGTGGTGGCACACACCTTTAATCCCAGCACCCAAGAGGCAGAGGTAGGCTGATCTCTGTGAGTTTGAGGCCAGCCTGGTCTACAGAGCTAGTTCCATGACAGGAACCAAAAGCCATGGAGAAACCCTGTCTGGAAAATAAAAAAAAAAAAAAAAAAAAGAAAAATAGAAAATCATATATATGTACACCTAGAAAGGGGATATAGTAAAAATTTGAGAAAATTGGGAGCATTGGGGTGGGGGGAGAAGGAAAAGTGGGAGAGGAAGGAGAGAAGAGGAGGGGGAGAAAGAAAGAAAAAAATAGCTAAATGTGATTATATTTGAGTTGCTTTTTTATGCTAATGTTACATTAATTTATTAATGTCTTATTAA